GGCACACCCTGAACCGCTCTGCGTGTATACTGACAGCCGTTATTCATTTGGCGTGGTAACAGACTTTATGGCTCAATGGCAATTACGAAATTTCCTCACATCCGCCGGAACGCCTATAAAGCATTTCAACACTATAACTGCAATTTGGCAAGCTATACAAGCACGAGAAACCCCCATTTCCGTCGTAAAAGTGTATGCGCACATCAACAAAAATCCGGATGTGCATGAGAAAAACAATAATATTGCTGACCAATTGGCTAAGCTGGCAGCAGTGAAAGGTGACCTATGGCAAAACGAAACAGCCTCTGTTTCTGTGGCAAGTGCGGCTCAAGTTACGCCCATCGGCCTCAAACAGTATCAACAAGATCTGTGGGTCTCTGATGGAGAACTTGTGCCACACTTGAAACGTGATCCGATGGTTAACGTAATCGAAGGCATAGTCATCCGAGATGGAAAATTTGTTGTTCCAGAAGCGCTTCAAAAACCAATAATCAAATTGTATCATGAGTATGCACATGTCTCTGCAACAAAAACAGCACAACTTATACAAAAACAATTTTGGTGGCAAGGGATGACAGCTGACACTGAAAGATGGTGCAACACCTGTCTGGTGTGTGCCACAGTTAACCAGGGAAAGCTAGGCCGAACAAATTTGCGCAGGCCAGAACCACCTAAAGGACCCTGGGAGTCAATAACACTGCAAATACAGTGGCACGTGTGATGGCGAACCAAATCATCCCCCTCTGGGGAGCACCAGTTCAAATTGAATCTGATCAGGGGACTCATTTTACTGGACAAGGTATGAAAAATATGTGCAAAATGTTGAACATCAAGCAAAAATTTCACATTTCATACAGACCACAGAGTTCTGGAATGGTTGAACGTGTGCAAACAGGACAATCAAAGAAAATATCTCTAAGCAGATAGCCCAACACCAAAATAAATGGATTGATGCCTTACCTACTGTTCTGACGGTGCTGCGAGCAACCCCATCAAAAGCTACAGGCATTAGCCCATATGAGCTTATGACTGGAAGGGTGATGAAATTACCCATTGATCCAGAAATTTCCCCAGCAGACTTGGGGCCTCTCATGCTCGCAACGCAGCAGACTGTGTTGGTACAATTGCAAGAAAGATTGAAGGTGTTGCACGCTCAGGCTGACCTGAAACGACAACAGTCAGACCTGACAAATGATGCACAATTTAACCCAATCTCTGAAACAAAATTTTCAGAAGGAGACATTGTGATGGTACGCGTCTTTGTAAAACAAAACGCATTTTCCCCTAGATGGCATGGGCCATATGAAATTAAAGCTGTTTGTAACAGCTGCGTGGCCGTGACCACCAGAGGAAAATTAAGATGGTACCACATGTCCCAGTGTAAACTGTTCATAAAATTAATTATGATCTTTCTTTTCCATAGGACAGTCACTGCAATTCCATGGAGGCCAGATGCCAGGGTGGTATCTGGACCCACCTGCATCGACTTGGGACAACGGGTCACACTCACACACACCCTAGGATGCGGGAGATGGGTATGGAAGTATACCAAGGGGCCATTCACACCTTACATTCCAATTACATACAAAGAAATAGTCACATGGCCCCCCGGATTAGCACCGGAACCAAATTGTGCAACTAAAATCTGCTGTAAGACAGGTTCTACCCATCCCCCAGACACAGACATCACAGGCTACACATTCGCACCAAAATTTCACCATAACATTACTACCTGGGATCAACTTAAAGAATACCCAGGTTCAAAAATTGGTAGTAAGCACATACTATATCAAATCAACAACTATGGTGAGGATCCTAAAAAATGTTACTCCACTAAAGATCTAGAACCAGCAACATATAGGTGCATGCATACTACAACACATAATAATACACATTTGAAGTTTACTGAACTTCTTTTTAACCTAACAAATCCTGTATCTAAAAACAATTTAAAAACATTTGTTTGGACTGGACAAAAAGAAGGAACCTACTGTGTAGGAAAATGTGAGGCAAATATGGACAATTTTACTAACCCTCATAATTGTTCATGGGCTTTACATCATTGCTTTAATCTAACCACCTGTGGATATAGAAAGCCCACACAGTGTCCAAAATTATATCCCACCCCTCCGGGTGGCCTTATCAAAGGAAATATAAACAAGACTTTGCTTCATGATGTCAATCTTGTGATAACACATGTGACGTATAACATTTCTAACATTTTGTCTGCTTACGTAGAACATTGTAACAGTAAGGATGAAACCTATACATGGCTACAGTCACGCATCGATGATATAGTTTCCGATTACAAAAACAGACTTGCAGTCCAAATTCCACCTACTCGCACCAAACGAGACCTGTTTGGAAATATAGCAGGCCTTTTTGGGTCAATTAATTCTATATCCAACACTTACAAAATAACAGGGCAATCTCAATTTTCAACATGGTTGGCAAATCAGGTGGCCACTGGTTTTCAACACATCACCAATAGTAATGAAAATATTATCAAAGCGGTCAGATCTGAAGCACATGCGCTTCTGACGACCAGTCAAACAATTTTCAATCAGACCCATATCATCGAGCATGACTTGGCCTGTAGATTGTATGCACAAGATTTGTTTACTGCAGCAAGACAAGAGATTTTAGATCTTCGTCTTCACAAGACACCTAGACATGTTTTAAATGATCTTATTGAAATTTTAGATCTACATAGATGGCTTACATCAGAAAAAATTAAGAACATTAACTATTCTGAATTGTTAACAACATTAATGATGTATACTGGAAATGAATGTACTGGATGTATTGGGTTTTTTGCCACTTTCCCTCTAATTCACCCAGATCAAGTTTTCCTAAATTCCACTACCATACGCTCTATCGGCGTAGTAGTGAAGGATCAGATCATAAAATGGGACCATCTTACGGGGTATATGACTTTGAAGGGCACTGAAACCTTGTTTACCACTCGCACCTGTTGTCATGAAACATCTAGTTACATTATTTGTACCTGCAACACTTTACAACCTTTTTCTCCCAACGATTCTAAGCTCGTTAATGTGCAGTCTTTGCATGGCCATTCTGATGCTGTTCAAGTGTCTCACACCCAGTGGTGCGTCATAAGTGAGATGAATTCCTTCACCTACGGAGGTCTGACCTGCCCTGCGAACCACACTTTCTGCTTGGAAGTGAAAGAGGACTTTTCAATGGGTCAGATAAACATCCTGGGAAAGGTACCACTAGACGTAGATGTTTCCCCATGGTGGGAAGACACTTTTTATGAGCGAAGCACACAAGCTTTGGTTAACACGATGGACTTAGTTCAAGGGATTATTTTACAGACTGAATATCATCTCAACCAAGCACAAGTGGAAGCAAATCTGGCGGAAAAGACTGCAGAGATCCTGTCCAGCTCCTCTACACGCTCAGCTTGGTATACTTACACCTGGTGGGATTGGATGTTTCGCGGATGCGCCATCGCCAGTGTGCTCATCTTCTTATTCACTCTCATCCAGTGCTGCTACTTCAGATGTCTTCTCCGCGCAATGCGCACTTCAACCAATGTGGCCATCACGCTCAGTCCACTAAGAGTACCAGCCCTACAGAAACTACAACCGTAAGCAAGCTACAAGAAATCCATAGATAATGACCCCTTAAGGACTGCTCTGAATCTGCCCCAAAGGGCCAAGGGCGGAACTGTAAGGATGGATTTTACCAAGACTGAATTCACCAGCCCCACAGGAGCACTGCACGGACCCTCTGCACTGGGAAGACGGAAGAGAGCACTCACGGCACCGGAGCACCGACATGGACCTTTCTCCCTAGCACCCACCTCACCAATAAATCCACCATCTGGGGTATTTCTTAAGACTTCCTTGTCGTGTGATTCTTCACCCCGTTACACTGGTGGAGAATGCGGGCAAATCAGTGAAGAATCACCGACAAGCGATCTTCTTCACCTCACCTTTTTTCCTTGTTTTTGT